CAGCTGTTTGCGCACATTCGGGCCCATTTCTGACGGCTTCACAGTAGGTGTTTCAAGACCCACACGTTATGCATGGGAGGCATGGACACGTGGACTGCACAACGACGTCAGGCCAATGACAACGGCAACCAGCCTCCAACAAAGATGAGAGCACTTTCTATGGGAGAAGATGCCGAGACTGTGCGAAAAGCCTTATTTCTTGTCTTCAAGATGACGCTGCGACAGGAGCTTGAGATCAGAGAGCTTCAAAGTGCTGTCTTCAAAACCTTTGTCGTGCGTGAGCCCAATCCCATTATCAGCACAGTGGAGGCAGAGGTTGGAAGCTACTTGGAGAAGGCCAAAATGGCGCGATCGTCCTCAGGCTCACTGCCAGGGGGGGAGGTTCATGCATTTGCGTGGGCAGCTCTCACACAGGTTGCTGTTCAGCAAGAGACGTTGGATGGTACATCGAAGGCGGCGATTGATTCCCACCGTGCGACATCGCCAGACATGATTGCGGATGTTGTGTACATCGCCAAGTTGAAGAAAGCGTTCAACAAAGGTGAGTTCAAGTTGCTCCTGGCGGTAAGCCCTGCTCATCATAGTCTGCTCGAGGCTGTGTCAGCGGGAGTTGTTGCGAGAGGAGCTGTTGAGAAGAGGACCGAGCACCTGCAAGCGGCATGTCTCGTGAATTGCAGGCGTTGGTTGACAAACTCACCGAAATCGCTAGCAAGTGAGACAGTGCCAGTTTTGGTGTTACGTGGGTGCCGCTAGTGCGCCGCATCGCTGTGGGTCTCATGCGGAGATTCGGCGAGTGCTGTTGGGGCCCGAGCTCTGTGCAGTGTTGGAGTCAGTTCGAACGAGGGAGGCACTTGGGGAGAGCCTCTCGCTCCGTTGCGACAGTCACTGTTGCCACATACGGTAAAGCGAAACAATTACTGCGGAGCGACAAGTTTCAACTCCGGATTCTCCTGATTTCCGAGTGTTTGGGCCGGGGGTCAGTGTAAGTATTCAGTCTTTCCACATATTTTCCGAGTCCTAGATCTCGGGAATTTTTGCGTTTTGAACTCTTAAGTCTTGTGCCCAAACTCTATCTGTTGAAGCATGTTGAAGCCGAATCGCCCTTGCCTCACACCAAAGTTGAAGACCAAATACTGCTTCTCGGACCACATCAATGGCGAAGTCAAGCAGGAGTCGCTATCTCTGTGTCATCTGCCAGTTGCTGCGTAAGGGCGTTGCGAAGCCGAGCGTGGTCGCAATGTTGAGGGGGGAACATACCTGCTTTGAACCCGGAAAAGCTTGAAGCTCTAACAGAACACCAGCTCTCTTCTAAGGCAGCTTGAGCTTGCGTGATTAAACTTCATTGACGCTTGTGTTCAGGATCTGCGGGATCCATCTCTTCTGTCGTAGTGCTGCTGAATGCTTTGCTAGCTATGCTAGCTGCTCTGGCTTCGAAGCTTTAGCGCAGGTGGAACAAAATCGCAGATCTGTGGCACAGGCGAAACCCGGTTGCGTGGAGCACGAAACGCCAGGCGTATCTTCATGGCGGTCCGGCAGGCGCTTGCTGCTGCCGAAACTGTCAGGGTGGATCCGTTCGCTGCACTCACCAAACAAACTCGAAATGCCGTGGCATGCCGTGGCACTCACATCCTGCGACTGTCTGCGACTGCCTGAAGCCGCGTACCGGAGCAGGTGCTGTGCTGCCTCGGGAGGTGCCTCACACGAGCCATGCGGCACCGAGGTCAAGCGCCAGTTGGACTCCCCTCTCTCTTCTTCTTCTTCATTAGGGTCATTAGGGCATGAGGGGCTTCGAAACCCCCCGGGCACATGGCCCCCCCACCTGTTATGGGGCTTTAAGGGAGTGTAATACGATAACTGTTCCCCGGAAAAGCAGAGTGCAGTATATTGACAGCACTGATGGATCGTCTCAGGGTTTTGCCAACACTGGTCCCAAACTAAGTCCATGGAGTAGTCCCCCGATCCGATCATCGGTCGCTCTGGCAGAACTCGCGGCGTCAGCTTGATGGGTTCTTGGGATCCATAACGAAACCAGACAACTATGATGACTTCTGGAATAGTGCAATCACGCATGCTGACCGAGTTCCCCATGCTGTTACACTTCCTGCCTGACAGGCTGCTCCACAGCCTTTTTTGGCTCTTCTTCTTCACTTCACTTCACTTCACTGGGGATAAGTCCAGCATGCTGGACCCGGGCCGAGGCCACCCCTTCTCTTCCACGATTGTGGCTCTCTCTCTCTCTCTCTCTCTCTCTCTCTCTGTCTGGGCGGCATTGCCCTATACTGCCCGTTCTCCTCTGGAAGCATGTTTTCATTGCCTTCTTGCCTTCGAAAGCCTCCAATCGACGCCACACTCTCTCGGCTTCAGAGTAGAGGAAGTGTCAGAGGTTCCAGCTGGAAGTGATTGTCAGCGTGGACTTGTCTTCTCTTCGGGCCTTACGAATCCAGACTTTCAGATTTCATGACCGAAGTTTTTGACGATCCATGACGATTAGATTTCACATGTCGCGTTGAGGCTACCGCATCAGCGGGTGCAGATGCCGGCCGCCTGCGTGTACGCAGCCAGGGGACCGTACCTCAGCGAGGCTCGAATGAGCATGCACCGCAGCCGCAAACAGGAATCAGAATGCTTATGTCCGGACATGTCGGGACATCACTCGCGGCGGATGCTTTTGTTGATGCACGAATCGCAACATCGATGATTCCACCCGTAGTACCTTGATATTTCGTGCTGAGATGTTCAGTACTAACCTGTTGCACTGTTTTGTTGCATTGCTTTGAGCTCCTTTATTTCGGGATGGGTCGGACACCGAACAACGTTGGATCCTGCAGAATACGCTCATGGGCAAAATCCTTTTCGCTTCAGCTGCAGGATGTCGATCCCGGAGGCCCGCAGACCCCCAGCGACACAAAGGACACGTTATGATGGACGTCCCTAAGGCCGCCTCGGGCGGGTAGAGAGACCCGATCCCGGGATCGCATCGAAGGCTTCGGGGAGATCCGCGCTGGCATCTTCGGGTCGGGTGCGGATGCAGTCGCGGCAGCAAGGGTCTCGAGGGAGTCGTCTGGGTCGATAAGTGACTTGATGTGACTTGTCGCCCTTGGATGCCCTAGTCTTCGCCGGTATGGCATCCTCCTGGAGTTTCAGCCTCATCGAGGTCCGAAAGCGCCAATCATGGAAGGCGGATCGCCATTATACATGTATGACCAAAGGAGTACCAGTTGATTGAGGCACAGCTTTGGTAGTTTATGGCAGAACGGGGAGAATGACTGGTCGAAGCGTAAGGGGCCTCGCCCGGGCCTCACAGACCTACAAGTAGGCTCTGAGAAATACCTGCTGCGCTACCAATTTGTGCGCAACTATTCGAGTTCGTTCAAGGGCCCCACGGCAGCAGATACAAACACACACGTTCAATACCAAGGCTTTACAAGCATCCACAACGAGCGGAGTTTCAGAATATGCATATTATGTATATGTATACGTGCGAGAGAGAGTGTGTGTGTGTGTGTGTGTGTTTGTGTGTGCCTGCGCGCATATATGGTGCAGCGCTGCCAGGCCCCCCCACCCCGTATTCCCCCCGCCCCCGCTGTGGTTCCCTGTGGTGTGGGTTCCCCCCCGCCCCTCCCCCCTGTGGTTGCTGTCGGCTGCGCCCCCTTCCATGGCTATTGCTGGTTGGGCGTCCCGTCGCTAAGGATTCGGACCTCAGAATGTGGCACATTTCCACTGAACTCCGACCTGCCCTGAGCTCCAAAGACAATGATAGTGCTGATGATGACGAAGATGGTGGTCATGCTAGCAGCCCAACTGAAAGTGAATGTAATCTGAGCAAGCTACAGTTTCTCTTTATACAGCTTGGGTTCACCACGCCTGTGCCTGGCTGGGTTGGATTCCTCAAAACTCTGCAACATATTGTGTGCGGAAAGGAGAGTGTACAGGAGAGGTTGCCCCGGGCTTGATGCAAAACGCGTACAGTTTCTACTCACGTGAGAGTACGGCGGTAAAGGCCTTGACCAAAGGGCTTAGGACAATGATACTGCCATCCTTTTTCATCAACGAGATGATTTTGACCCCCCATCACGCATTCGCAAGACCTGCTTCTGCAACAGCCACACAGTGGGGTTGCACTATCGCCAACTATCGTATGACACCTACTAGTATGCAAGAAGACCTGCTTCCCTCTCAACCCAATCTGTCCACGGTCAATGGCCTCTGGGTCTGGGTGCCTGGCCCATGGATACTGCTCCCTTCCCGGAAAGAGTAGATCGAGGGCAGTACCTCAGCGGTGCCGCCGTGCTCTTCGCTGGTGTGCACCGCATCTGCTGCCCTGCTGACTCTGAGTTGCCAGCTCCGGACCCGGCGATGCGCAGGTCACCAAGCGGGTAGCGCTCCGTGCTGAGTCCAATGCAATCATAGCTTCAGCGCGGCTTTCATAGGCCCAAGCTTCTCTGCTGAGGGGTGCAGCGCTCAGGAGCCGGCGTAGCACACCTCCGGGCACGTGCCGTTGTTCCTGGTGGCCACTGGGCAGACTGCACACTCGTGAACGCCGGACTTGACAAACCATTTCCGTCTGTATATATGTTGTCCGAAAACGAAAACGCCAACGGCAGGATGCACGAGACACCCGAGACAGAAAAATGATGAAATATGCACTTGCGCAAACATGCACAACCAAATGTCGCAACTTCGAAAGAATGCAACGCTCCGTCCCCTCGACTAAGAAGCGCCGGTCCGGTCGTTCAGTGTTGTAGGATATGCCGGGGCTCCTGACAGTCTGTCATCAATCTGACTGTGACATGCCCCGTAAATGAGCACAAATATGTGCCGAAGCAGATTGTCTGAAGAATGACTGAGCGACTCGCTCGTCGGCAGCTTTGACGACCGTCTTGGCCTGACTCGGGAGCAAGCTTTGGGCCTGAATCTGGGAGGAACAAACTCGCAAGTCTCTGTGTCTCGGGATTTTTTCTCTGCGCAGCGTGGACACCTCTCTGGCGCCCGACTAGCACTCAGAGTTTTGAGCTGCGCCACATCACTTTGTAGTCGAGACTGTGGCCTTGCGACAACTTCAAAGATGCGAAGCCGCAAGCCTGAACTTGCTGGAACATGATTCGCAGCACGCTCCGTTGTGCAAAACCATCTCTCAGCCAAGCCTATTTGGCTTGAGAAGCGGGATATCTCTTTCCTTTCGCGCAGCAAAAGGAAAATAGGTCCACATGATAAGAATTGCTACGGTACCAGCACCGGGATCTCAGCCTAGCAAGTGAGAGAGCATCGTCCCCTGTGTTCCAACGACCCGAAGATTAAATTTGATTCCAAGCATCTTGCGAAGCTTTCGCTTCAGCGTGGATGGAATCAGGCGCGTCATTAGAAAACCTGCGAAGACGGTATCCAGTGAACCGTTTACGGGGCCACAAACGCGAGCTGTCCAGCTTGGACGTCACATGCTTCCAATCTTGTAAACAAGCAAGCCTCGCGCCCATGGTACGATCGTGATCGTGATCAATGTCAAGTCTGCTCTACAGATACTTTGAATTTGGTATGCACTGATGCTGATCTGCATTGGGCCTATTGCAGTTGTTTGCGTCCTCACACCGACTCCATCGGCGGACTCCAGCTTCAACTCGACATTGGCCTTGTGCACGCATGCGGCAATCAGATCATCATCCGTTTTGTTCCATTGAAGCCACATGGTCAAATTCAGCTTCAGGTGCTCCCTGGCCGCAAGGTTCTTCAGCGACACGGGGCATCAAACAATTGCGGCAAGGAGCCATGAGCTTTCCGCAGGATTTGAGCAGTTGGTGCACGGCCACGAACACATCCAAGTATGTGTCATCCATCCTGACACAGCTGCGACCGTCACTTTCGCATAGACTATTGTAGCTGCCCCGTCGGATGTGCTGTTATTTGCTGTGCCGCGAGCAGATGCGGCCGCGATGTCCCTGCGTATGTTCCAAGCACAGGCTGCCTTTGTGTGATTGCTTCCTTGTTTGCTGCGATGTGTCGCGTGCATGAATACGACCTGACGTCGATCCCACTGATGTGGGTGCGAAAGACGGTTCAGTCGGGATGCTGTTTCACAGATGGCAGATCTTCGCAAGAGCTCTGAGGGTGCCCCACAAACACGAAGAGCGCACTGTGGGCTCCGTCAGTGCCACTGTCTTGGGGTTGGAAGGTGCTACGCTTGCCTCGACTTGGAGAGTTGCGGCTCGTTTCGTGTCATTTTCGTGTGTCGGCGGTGCACATGTCATGTGCCTGGACGGCCCGTCTACCCTTGTGTCGCTGCAGGCATTTGCCTTGACAGCTGCTTGACAGCGTTGTCGACTGCATTTCTGTGGACTGTGCAGCCTTGAAATGCCCTGCTTGGATGGACTCTTCCGAAGCGATCGCTACAAATCTTGTTGTGACTCACTGGCGCACGCTGTGCTACCCATAACATGCAAATCGGGGTGGGCGTTTGCAAAGTCGCTAGATGAGGTGCTTGAGAAAGGCATTGTTCATTTATTTCTATGCTATCTACTCCGGCATTGTCTAATGACCGCATGCGATCGACGAATAGCAAGGCAACGACAGAAACAAAGAATGCAATGCCTTGACCACCACGCCTGAGGCTCCAGTCTGCTATGGGAAGGAAATCCATCAAATGGATCAACTGATAGTTCAGCTGCACCCAGAAGGACTCCGTGTCGAGGAAGAGTTTCCTCAGGTTTAGAATTGGAGCAGGAGCTGTCTTCACATGAAGTTTTGTTACCTTCGACAGAACCCCAGGAGGCAGAGCTACAACGTCCATGAGTTCGAAAGGCACGCTTGAGATGAGATTGACGCTTCGCAAGCTTGCAGTGCCTGAACACGGCCGGATATTCCACACCAGTGTCTTCGTTTTCTCCTGAACGATACTGAGGTCGTTCAGCCCAGTTAGCTTTGTCATGCGAACATGAGCCAGAAACGTCTCTTGACGTCTCATGATGCCTGCAGGCCTGCGCGAAATGCACAGCATAAAGTCACATCCCCGAGAGCTCGCTGACTTGAAATTTACAACATTTACACTAGGTCTAGACTGTGCAGGCAATCGTTGCCAGCGTTCACGGGAAGGACTACGGCATCTATCTGACCTTCAAACAGCACTGTTGTGCTGATGCGGCTGTCATGGGACATCTGCTGTGCCGACCATACTGCCGGGTCTCACCAGTTTTGATTTGTGATATCCTAGAGTCTAGAGATTACACAAAGCTGCTCATGAAAGTACCCACGAACTTCTCAGAAGAACCTGGCAAGTCTTTCAAAAGCTGAGAAAAAGCTAGGTCCAGTGCAACCGACCGCGTAGTAAGCACTCGGCCGCTTGCTTGGTTCACTCCATCGGCTTGACATGTTTCGTGCTACCAGCCCCCGACACAAATCCAAAAGCAATGAGCTGGACTTTCAGGGCATAGCTTGCATTGATGAAAACTGGGGCAAATGGCAGCTCGCAATGGACGGTGCGTCATGTTGCGATGCAGCCGACTCTGAAATCTACAGGAATCTGGGCCGGCTGCATTAGCTCGCATTCAAAAGATGACGTCATGAAAACGAGACTCCACGACTGTCGTTTGCGGCCACTTCTCAGAAGTCAGAAGCTGTATGGCCATGCAAGCAGTTGGATGCGAAGCAACACGCTTTGGAATGCTGCGCCGCAGCGCATCATAAAACACATGTCGTGGCAAATGAAGGGAGTGACATGGCGCTCCGGCCACAAAAACATGAAAGGAAAGAGTCCTGATCTCACAGTATCTCCTGCGACATCGGTGGACCGTGGAACTTGAGTGCACAGCTTTGCTTTGATACACTCCGCTCTGAGGCAGAAACACTGGCAACACACACACACATACATATACATATGTATATATATATATGCATAAACACGAGCAAACTTCGTCCATTCACCTAGAATAGAAAACTGCTTCGTGGCATTTTGCCTGTCGGCAAGCATGTCACAGATGCTACTGCCTCACAAGCAAACAGCACGCGGGTAGCAGGTTTTCACCGCACAGCTTGTCTGTCGCCTTGAGAAAACAGCAAGCAGAACAGAAGCAACACGCTGTTCATCTGCATTGCTTCAGGAAGTTGTCCCTGGCTTGCAGCAAGCCGAGACACGTCCACATCGGGCATTCGTTGCCGCTGCTATGAGGACGGTCCATTGGAAGCTGAAGAGCATCTGAACTCTGCTGGATGCTGTGCGGGATGGCTTCCATCTGAGCGCTCAGGCAAGGTTCACGCGCCTATGCTCTATTGCAAGCACCTCACACATTCGGTCCGCACTTACTTTTGAATTTACAACCGCTCCAGTCACTGCTCAAGCTGAGAGAGTTTCTAAAAACCTTGCTTGAACAATCTTCTAGCGTGAATGCGGTGGCGAAGTTCCGTGCTGACCGTTTGTTTTTTGCGTCGCCTTTGCGGCCCGTCTTGCCCTGGCGCCCTGCTCGGGCAGCTGTTCAGCTGCTGCACAGATCTGATGACCAGAAAATAGGATGAATCTGTCGTGGTTTCGGTTTCTCCGACGGATTGGGTCAAGCAAAGCTCTTCTTGGTATGCATTTGCCATAACTCGCTGCTAAGTTAGTTCAAGACTCAACCCCGCCACGTCCCCGCTAACCCGCCACTGGCCTATCTGTACAATCCTGGAAGCATACACGACAAAGCCATGTGGGGTTTCAGTGGAGTGTTGCACCTGTCACCATGCGCACCTCGGCATGATACGATGTCGGGAGAGCAAACTTGTGGCTGAAGTCTTACTCATTGCTGAAATCATATCTCCTCAACTCCTTTCCAGCGGCAACCGGTGACTGTACCGTTTTGGCCACATAAAATGCACCACAATATGTCGCGGTGCAGTTTCCAGGCTTGGCAACTTTTAACAAGCCTGCATTGAACTCCGAAACCTTCATCTGGCGTCCGACCTTGGCGTCCCAGGCTGCGCGCAAGAACTTGATCTTCTGTTCAAAGGAACCGGGATGACGCTCCACCGTGCAGAGAAAGTCCTTCAAACGTATAGCACTAGTTAAACAGCACAACTACCCAGCACAAGCAGAAGCAAGGTGCTTATGACAATGCAAGCAAACGACCCTGATACAGCTCTGGTGCGTTTCTGAAGGGGCACGTGGCAGCGAAGGTTAACACGCCGTGCAGGAGGTCTCTCACAAGCATGCAAAATCATGCTTTAAAGCCCGTCCTCCAGGTCATCAAAATGAGCTTCTGCTTGCTTGGTAAGTCCAAGCCCCACCTTATTGATGCTGGGCTTGATGATGTCAGGAACTGTCAGCTGAAGCGGCAACTAAGTATATCTGTGTGAATAACCAAATACATGCTCAGCCTTAGTCTCTCGCTCTCTTGCTTGCTTGCTTGCTGCTGGGGATAAGTCTGCTCACACAGACCGGGGCCAAGGCCCCCCTTCCCCCTATAACAGTGGAAGAGGCTTTGGAGTCTTCAACGGTCGGATTTGTGCCGTTTGGGCGGCTTGGCCGGTGGGGTGTGTCTGTCGGGGAACCTCCCTGATCCTGAACTTTAACGTGCCTCTCGGCCTCATCCCCTCGCCCTCTATGGCACGTCCGTAGGTTCCTCGACAGGCACAATTCCCCCGCAAGCCCTGTGGAAGGAGCCAACATCCCCTTCAAAACCTTATTGTAGACAGCAACAACTGAGTTCCGTACGATGCAGATCATCACGACAAGACGGCATCACGTATCAGGTATCATGGGGGTAACGTGATTGTTCTGGGGTTCTCACCCCCTGTCTCGGCAACAAACAAGAAACAACACGTATGCAGTCACTAGTACGGGGCGGGAGTCCCCCTACACTGAAAAAATACCGCTTGAATTATTTATCATCAGGTCTGGGTATAGTCGGCCAAAAGCATTGAAGTACTGTGGTGGGCGGATCAGACATCGCAGGATGGCGATGTGTTTTGCATGAATTGGCAAGCGCACGAACAAACTGCTTCAAGCTGCGGCGGCAGGTATTGAAAGGTTTCATGTGCATAGGTATGTAACAACGTGCAATCCCCCGGCATGAGGACATGGGACAGAAAAACTCCCCCTCCTAGAGGCTTGGAGGTCTGGCTTCGCAAGCAAAAACTGGAGAAAAGGGGGGGCACCGAGTGCAGGCTGAAGGCAGCAACGGAACGAGAGCTGAGATCACAAACGCATACAAACGCAGCCTTCCCCCGGTTCCCCCGCGCTCTGTGCTTTTACATTTCCTGGCCAGGCTGTTGGCGGCTCGCTCGCATGTGGTCCTGTACACATTGTACTTGCCACCGTACGGCTGTAAGCGGACCTGTCTTCTCCTCGGACTTCTGCTGGGTGTCCTGGGTCGCCGTGCTCCCAGGTTTTCTCGGGCGGCAGTCCCCCCGCCGTCTTTGTCAACTTCCTTGTTTCGTTCTCACAGCGCCGTCTTGGGACTTCTACCCCCTGGTCTTGGCTACCAGGCCACCAGGGGCTGGCACTCCCAGCTGGCTCGGTACCCTTCTCCGCTGTCTCTGCGCTCGCGGACTCCAGGCTCCCCCAGTCCACTTCATCCTGCTTATTGTTGGTGGCGTCGTCCTGCGGTGTTGCCTCTGTACTGGCTGATACCGGTTGACGAGACCAACCAATGCCTTTCAGGAGTACCTTCACCATCCCCCTGGTCCATGCGGACAGAGATTTGCCCTGATACGTCCCCCTGAGGCGATCATGTTCATGAGTATGGTTACACTGCCGCGCTGCATGGATTGCGCTAAATCTCTCCGCGTTGTGCAGATGGTTGTGGGTTTTTGAGGAGCATGCCCCATTTAGGATGCCTGAGCCCCAGGGTGCATTGGTCGAAGGTGGCATAATAGTGCTTACAAGCTACCCTCCCAAACCTGGCATCCCGCCAAGCTAATAAATCGGAAGAGCTCTCAGCAGTGACATGCCTACCATGAGAACCCTGATACTCAATGGCATCAAACAAATCTGGAGGTCGGCTCGGTCATCCAGCCTCTCCCGGAGTGCCCGCTGGCGTGCCACTAGATCGCCAAAGCACTGTACCCTACGGCGTGCCTTGATGGAAACGATACGAACACGTCAGTCGGACTACAGCGGACTAGAAGAGATTGGAATAGCCATTGAGCCTCCTCGCTATGCAACTCTTGCCCCCAGGCGTGACCCAACCGAATAGCGATTCCTCCTTGGGCCTCGCATTCATCACTCAAACGAGCACGATTAGCGTACACTTCCACTAGATCTACCTTCAGGGCCAACTTCCAAGCTTGAGGTCCCAACCATGATCGAAGTTCGGATCGGGTAGCCTTGCGACTGAAATCAACGGGCGCCGCCTTCCAGGCCTGCAAGAGCCGTCCGCATCTGGATCGTACCGAACCACTCCCGGGTGATTGCGCTGATCGAGCACCGGTGAGTGCCGAGCTGTTGGCGGGAAGAGGCTGCTGGCTGGAAGACGGTGCGGAAGATGCGCTGCCTGAGAGATGAGTGCCGCTGCCTGCTCTTCCAAGTCCTTCACTTGACATGATCCGGCCGTGCTGCAGCCATCGGAACATCCGTCGCCGCTGATGTCGGTAATGCCTGATACTCCCTGGCCAACATGTCCCGGACTGTCTGCTGCACCTTGGCCATGTCGTCGATGACATGGGGCTCGAGCTGCGGACGATGCTGAACCGCTGTGGATGGCCCATCGAGCCCTCCGAGGGTCGCTCTGTG